GGTAGAGAAAACTGCAGAACTGGAAGCCAGAAGATGGATTCAACCCTCTGAGCAATACCTATCCCACACCCTAAGCACCCTAATCAGCCATTACCGACCTACACATCACCCTAATCAGGTTCTAGTGTGTTACAGCAAGAAGATTGAGAAGTAATTTAGGTGCGCTCAACCATGGTTCAGGGACAAAAGAGAATTTCTTAGAGCTTCCATGTTCACCAAGCACTGTCCAAAGTGGACTCTGGGTTTAGCAGACATGATCCTTAGGCTTGAACATGGCCTGAATGAAACACCCATGCAAACTTCACCGTCTCTGCTGTTGTCTCTGATTCAGAAATCACCAAGCAATCTTCTGCTAGGTTTCTGGGGACCCTGATATGGAGAAGGGGGTTTATTATATGGGGAATACTCATGCTCTGGGTCCTAGAAAGCTCTACTGCTGTTTAGCATTCTGATTTATAAATTGGTCCTTTGCTAATTTTGTTATCTTGATTCAGTTTTTCTGAGTCTAAATAACTCTGAGTGAACTGAGACTATAAAATTTCGTAGGACGAAACCTATAGCGATTCCACTAAAGAGCCAGCTCTCAGTAAGATCCCCCTGAGCAGTCTCTCCCCAGTCCCTTCATCTCTTAGCCTTCCCTTGCTCTCTCTGACATCTTAACCAGATCACTGTACTTCCTCCTATTACAAGCCCTCCTTTGAAAGAGAGAGGGGAGCTACTGTCCCTGCTCCTCAGACAGGCAGAAGTGTGGTGGTGGTGGTTGGGTCATAGGGACTTGACTCCAGCCTAAGTCCTCCAACCCCCTCCCACACCCCAGGTCCCAGCTGAGGAAACCTCCTCTTGTTGGTGCTGTGGAATCAGGACAGGAGTGGGAGCGAGGTGACCTCACCTGGGGACTCAGCCAGCGGAGGGCAGGATTGGGATGAGTCATCAGTCCCCGGGCTTATTGGTACTGAGTTTCTCAGTTGGGGACCTACTGCCTTCTGACATGGTGAAGACTGGGAAATGGTTAAGAACTTAGCCTAGATTAAGAAACACATCACTGGCCTCTGTCTCCCCCGACTTTCCCAGGGAAAAGTACATTAGTGTCAGCTTTCCTCACAGCTGAATTTCTCCCCAAGCCCAAGGAGAAGGGAAAATAATCAGAAAGCTATATATTTCCTTCAAAAATTAGATGTAGAGACAATGGCAGGTGAAGGTTCCTCCTGTATGGTACTAAATAAAGGGAATACCTGGTGTACCCCTAAAAATAGCAGGGATCTTAGGTTCTAGACAATGTTACTCTTGTCTGTCATTCTGGTTAATGATGTTAAAGCAGTTATGAATATGAAATGTATTCATATTCTAACTCTGCAGTCCCCAACCCCTGGGCTGCAGCCTGGTACAAGTCCGTGGCTTGTTGGGAACCAGGCTGTGCATCACTGCCTGAACTCCGTGCACCACCCCACGTCCCTATCTGTGGAAAAATTGTCTTCCATGACACTTAGCAGGAGGTGAGTGTGCAGGCAAGCGAGTGAAGCTTCATCTGTATTTACAGCCGTTCCCCATCACTAGACTCACTGGCTGAGCTCCACCTCCTCCCCCTTTCATGAAACTGGTCCCTGGTGCCAAGAAGGTTGGGGACCACTGTTCTAACCAATTGTCCTTTAAAAAAGGAGGAAAAAAAAAGAGGCACTCTTTTGGGTTAAGGACTATGTTTCCAAAAATACCAGTTAATGTCAAAAAATATAGGGGAGAGGAACAGAGTACACAAATGCATTAATAAAAATTAATCTCTTAGATCCTTTTGAAAATTGGAAACATTGCTCAAAGAAATGATACAAAGATCTAGATTTGCTTCCTAGCTGTAGTCACTAACCTTACCAAGTCTCAGTTTCTTCAAAATTAAATGAGAGTAACAACAATTACAATAATCTCATGGGTCTGGGAGGATCCAAAGGTACCACTTCATTCATCACAAGTTACTATAAAAATGTCATTTGATATTATTATTATTAGGACAGCTCTCTATTATTAGAGAAGTCTGATTCGAGGATTGGAGCAACACACATTTTTTGAAGGAATAAATGAATAAATGGGGTTTAGAAAATTCTGCTGGGGGATCACAGGCAGTGGGGAGTTCCAGTGGGTGGCCTGCGGCAGCAAGAAGACAGCATGAAGGTGCAGGATGCTCAGAAGCACAAGCATGTGTAAACTCTGGACTAGCTGTAATGCCTAGGATTAGAAGCCCTTTTTTGGAAGAAGGTGAAGCTCATAGTAAAATATAAAAGTGCACAAAGCCCTGAGATAACCAGGGTGAGATGACTTTAAAAATCCATCCCTTAAGCACAAAAATATAATAGAGTCTAAGCAATTCACTTACTCCACCTATCGTTGAAGAAAGACTTTTAAGATGTCTATTACACACGAGGTTCAACTGACGACATTACACTTACCGTATATGTCCAACCTGGCAGTGCACGACACGATGCCGGCTTCGTTCTTGGCTGACAACGTGTACCACCCGGCGTCTGATTTCTTGGCTGGCTGAATGAGGAGGCAGACATACCCTGTTGTGTCCTGGTGCATACTGGAGAAAGGAAAGAATATACCCGTATTTTATCCTTGTCAAGTTTAGGGCTCAGGGAACTCTTAGAGCTTTTCCTCCCTAGAGGGAAGAAAGGGGAACTAAGTTAAAGGCAAACATCAAGACAAATTTGAAAGGGGAAAGAAGTAACAAAGGAGCAGCAATGAACCTAGTGACGCTAAGAGGAGGGGGACAGTCGGGGTTGAGACCTGCCGTTGCCCTCCCACTGCTCCAAGTCCATAGAAATTGTACTCCTCGCCAGCGTTACTCTGACTTTTCACAAAGTCCAGAAAAATCTCTTTTCCAAACGAAGTTGGACATTTCAACAAGAACTCTGTTAGGAAGCTACGAGAAAGCAGACCAAAACCAGAGCCCAGGGATGGATGGACTGATGGAGATGCCAATTCCTTGTGTAACCAGCCAGGCACGTGCGGCATCTAGCTTAATTTGGTTAAGGAGAAAATCAGCCTGCTCTTTCTCTCTGTTTATTCTACATTAGTAGTTCTCAACCTCGGCTGTACATTGGAATCCCAGGCCACACCCCAGATAATTACATCAGAATCTCAGCCTGGGACCCAAGCATTAGGGTTTTTGGAAACTTCCCAGTGATTCCGATATGCAGTCAGAGATCAAAACTACAGGGATACGTCTCCCCTAAACCCCTTGTTGGCCTGGCCTCCTTACCATAGTTCCAAGCTCCCTTCTGACGCTGCTATAGCTTTTTTGCAAGGCAGAGATAAAAGCAATAGCTTCCTGAGCTCAAAGGATGAACAAGTGTTTTCTTTTTGTTGAAAGTTATTATGATATATCCAAGAATTTATAAAGTAATAAGAATAAACAAGAATAAAGTAATGACAGGTATAACAAGAATAAAGTAATAAAATATCCATCACAATCTCACCACCCTAGCGCTTTGGCTACTTTTACTTTCTGTTTAATTAATTAACCCATTCATTCTTGGATATATTTCTTAAGTAAACCTTTATTGAATACTATGTTGGGCACAATGCTGGATGCCACTGTCTTTGGAACTGAGGGTGCAAATATAAATAAGACAAAAATTCCCTATCTGGAAGAGTCCCTAAGTTTAGTGAGAAAGAAAAGATAAAAATATAGAAATAAATCACATGAAAAAAATCATAATGACATGAAAACCATAGATACTTACAACATAGTTATAATCACAGTAATATACAGACAGTTCCTAACTTAGGATGGTTTGGTTTTTCGACTTTATGATGGTATGAAAGCAATATGCATTCAGTATGCTCCTTGATTCACAATGGGGTTATGTCTGGACAAATCCATTGTAAGTTGAAGAGCACCTGTATGTGTATCTATCTCTATGTCACTATATATCTGTGTGTGTGTGCGTATATATATATATATATATACACACACGTATATACATATATATATATTTTGGAGGCTATTCAGGTATTCCCAGGTGTGTGGCTTTCCAGAAACCAGTGACTATGGCTTCAAAGTATCTGAATGTCCTGTTCTTACAATAAAACAACAGGCATCCTTTTCACCAAAGGCAAGGGGAAGATTCTGTGTGAACGGGTAGTGGTCTCTGAGTCTTAGGCCCTCCCCCTTGCAGGATGCCAGTCATCCTCCAGCCCACCCCCACCTCCATCCTTACCTCCCAGGCTGTCTTCCCTGGGGAAGTGATAACTAAGCTGAGCTGGTCCCGAGTCCAGAGGCTGAGCAATCGCCCAGCCCCTGCAGTTAGCCTTCACTGGGAATGGGATTTCCAGACACTGACTTTTTTTCCCAATTAAACCATGTTTAAAATATTAGACCCTCAGTTTAACACATTAACTGCCACGTGAGTTGTATTTAACTCATGCTAGTTTCGAGCCTGGGGCCTCGTGAAGTAAAACCTGGGCAAAACCCTGTAGTTGGTTTGTGAAAATCTTACCTGTTGCTGTTCTTATTGTTTCAATTAATACTGACAATTTAATTCTAAAGATGTGGATTAAATGAATAGAAGTCAATACATTTCGTTTTTCTATTTATGTTTACCTTTAGATTATACTTAAGCCTGACGAGTCAAGAAAAACACTTTACCCTTACGAACTATTTTTCAAGTTTCCACATTACTTTTTACATTACTAATTTTTAAGTTTTTATATTACTTTTTTTATTTAAAAAACATGGAAACTATCATTAGAGTGAATAGACAGCCCACAGAATGGGAAAAAATATTTGCTCTCTACACATCTGATAAAGGGCTGATAACCAGAATCTATCTAGAACACAAAAAAATCAACAAGAAAAAATCAAACAACCCCATCAACAAATGGGCAAAGGAAATGAACCGAAACTTTTCAAAAGAAGACAGAATAATGGCCAGCAAACATATAAAAAAATGCTCAACATCTCTAATCATTAGAGAAATGCAAATCAAAACCACAATGAGATGTCACCTAACCCCAGTGAGATTGGCCTCTATCAAAAGGTCCCAAAATATCAAATGCTGGCGAGGATGCAGAGAGACAGGAACACTCTTACACTACTGGTGGGACTGCAAATTAGTGCAACCTCTGTGGAAAAGAATTTGGAGATACCTCAGAGAGCTAAAAATAGAAATACCATTCGATCCAGCAATAGCACTATTAGGCACCTACCCAAAAGAGCACAAAACATTCTATGATAAAGACATCTGCACCCGAATGTTTCTGGCAGCACAATTCACTGTTGCAAGGATGTGGAAACAACCCAAGTGCCCGTCGATCCATGAGTGGATTATTAAAATTTGGTATATGTATACAATGGAATATTACTCAATCACAAGAAACGACAGTGATCTAGAGCCTCTTATACTTTCCTGGATTAAACTTAAGCCCATTATCCAAACTGAGGCACCACAAGAGCGGAAGAATGGGCTCCACTTGTACTCGCCATCGAATTGGTACTAACTGATCAACACTAGGGTGATCACATGGCAGAAATACTCTCCAGGGATTAGGGGGATGGAGGCGGTAAATCCGCAACTAAAGGACACGGGGAGCACTGTAGGGGGTGAAGGGCATGCCTTTAACCCGCACTTGGGTGAGGCAAAGACATAAAGTGGAACCATAATGTTTGTACCCTCACAATACCCTGAAATAAAAAAAAAAAAAAACACACAGAAAATAATTAAAAAGTAGAAAATTTTTGTTAAATTAGAAAGGATCATTTTGTTTTGAAGCTTTTGTTCTATTTTCATAATAAAATAGCATGGCCTCAAGAAATTTCTTTTTTTTTTTGGCAGTGGGAGACAGCGGGCCAGTTTACCTAGTGTAATACATTCAATCTGGTTTAACATGTTACATTAATTTAGATGGAAATGTTAACTCAAGAATATTCACTGTTCTCGCTTAAGTTTTGCCAGAGAAAAACCATTACATATTTGCAAAACCTAACAGCTACAACGTCCTCTGGGGCATATGCAGTTTATTGTGGAGATAGAATTCTCAGCAGAGTTTTGTCCAGAAGCTGTGATACCTTTGCTCTCTCGCCCCCTTGTGGTATAAAACCAAAATGGCAAAGAAATAAGGTCGCTTAGGGAAAACCGAGCGAGATATCCAACTTAAAAACTGGATCCTTAAGCTTACTTTTAAAACAACCATTTAGTGGTGGATGTAAAAAGAGTATAACTGCCTTGATGTTGTTGTTTCGTTTTATTTTAGCTTTTTATTTTGAAGAATTTTCTGGGTCCTAATATGACTGAATACACAAGACAAAAAACATGCAAGATCTTCACAAATTCCTTGAACACTTTAAAACTTAAAATTTAAAGTTTTAAAGCTGTGAGACATCCATACAATGGACTATCAATCAGCAACTAAAAGGAATAAGTTCTTGATACACACAATAAGTTAAGTGACACTCAAATGCATTATGCTAAGCGAAAGAAGCGGGACCCAGGCTGGGCGGTGGCTCACGCCTGTAATCCTAGCTCTCTGGGAGGTTGAGGCAGGTGGATCGTTTGAGTTCAGGAGTTCGAGACCAGCCTGAGCAAGAGTGAGACCCCCGTCTCTACTAAAAATAGAAAGAGATGTTCCGGACAACTAAAAATATAAACAGAAAAAATTAGCCGGGCATGGTGGCGCATGCCTGTAGTCCCAGCTACTCGGGAGGCTGAGGCAGGAGGATCGCTTGAGTCCAGGAGTTTGAGGTTGCTGTGAGCTAGGATGACGCCACGGCACTCACTCTAGCCAGGGCAACAGGGCAAGGCTCTGTCTCAAAAATAAATAAATAAACAAATTAAATTAAATAAAAAAATAAAGCCAGACCCAAAAGGCTACAGACCTATCTGGGTGGCCCGACAAGCCCCCCTGACAGTGTTAGTCCTTCTGGATGTGGCGGCTGCCGTACCTGATCCTCTCTCTGGTGAAAGGGATGGTCTCGTTGTCTTTCTTCCAGTAGAACACGGGCGGGGGCATGCCTATCACGCGGCACTCCAGTCTCACCGGGTGGCCTTCGGGAACCCCGCAATTCTGCAGTTTCTCCAGGATCACAGGCGCTTTCTTCACCTCTTTGGCTGAACAAGAGAAAGGTCGTTCTCCTTTGAATAGTAAGTCCTTGAGGTTCGTGCCTCAAACTCACCACAGTTGAGGAATTTAGCAGAGCGGGCACGCACCCGTCAGACTCTCATGCTTCTTAGTGGGGGTCACTACCTTGATGGAAGCTCCGCACAGGCTCACAAAGAAATGGGGCCACCATCTCTGCACATCCCGTGACAGACGGCACTGGAGGATCGGGGTAGCACGCACGGGATGCCAGGGCTACGACTGGTTTCTTTCATTGCTTAACAGTAAATTTTCAGAAACAATATACTCTACGTACCGAAATAGATCTTGTTTTTTTTTTTTTTGGAGGAGTTTATTTTGTAGAAGATATATGAATTTTCCCTCAACTTTTTATTTTGAAAAATCTCCCACCTACAGAATCATGCTATTTTTTTTTTTTTAAAAACATAAGATTGTGCTTCCCCAAGGAGGCTTTATTTGGCCAGAACAAATTTAAAGAAAGATACCTCATGTCTCAGGGTTTCAAAGTCTCTATTTAGCAAAATAGTGGAAAAAAGGTAAAAGCCTGAAATCAATGTGTCCTTGCAGAGTTTTCCCTCCTCTGTTGGGAAGAAGAAAGTAAGAGTGTGAAAAGGAAAAAGATATACAGGGCACACAGCCACTAGCCTGGGAGAGAGGATTAGCATGCTGAAGCCACCCCGATCCTCTTCAAGGGCCACACACAGCAGGAGAAAGCCCAGCACCAGAATGTCTACATGTGGAAATTTAATTCTTGCCGGACTACTGCCCTGCAGCGTTGGCACCACCCAGGTGATGATGTCTTATCGTCTTTACCTATAGGCATTACCGTGTTTCGTTCGCATCATCTTATAAGGTTTTATCTGTTTAGTTTAGTTATTGATTCAACATGTGTTGAGCACCTTTCATGTTCCAGCCACTGGGATACACAGAAGAGCAAGCTCAGCCTCTCCTCAGGGAGGCAAAGAAGTAAACAATTACACAGAAGGCTCTAAGTACTCTATGAATCTCTCCTTTTCTAAGTGCCAGGGAAACACAGAGGAGGCTTTGTTTGGCCAGAACAAATTTAGGAAGGAGTAGTTGTGTCCGCGGATCTGCTGAGCCTGGATGGTGACATTCTGAGTCAGGCCTTAGAGAGTGAGTAGGAGGTTGCTAGGCAGAGAAGGGCATTCCAGGGAGAGGGACCATGGGTGCAAAGGCATGAAAGCTTAGGGGGAAACAAAAGAGCCTGGTATGTTCCAGGAATAATGGACTGTAGGGCAAATGACCAGAATTTAGTGACAGTCAATTGATTGGTTAATTAACTATTACAATGGCTCCCATTTATTGCATGAGTAATATGCAAAAGGTGCCACATTACGTGTTTAGATTACCCACGTCTTTGAAACCAGCGTAGGCAATATGACCCTTACCACAGTGAAAGGGAAACAGATTGAACTCAGTGGGGCAAAGGACTAAGGAATTCTGCCAGAAGCTCTGCATATTTGGGCAATAACGTTGGATGGAGTTATGTTCAGGGGTTCCAGCAGCAAACCTTACCTACTACAGAGAGCTCCAGACTAAAAGAATTCTGTCCGGTTTTGTTGGTAGCAACGCACGTATAGGTCCCTGCATCGCGTTGAGTGAGCGGGTCGATGAGCAAGGAGTGGACTCCAGTTTCCCTGACCAGCATCTTGTGGGAGGCGTCTGGTAGCACAGGTTGGCCATTGAGCAGCCACGTCAGCTCGGGGGGCGGTAAGCCACTCACCTAATAAACAGCAGGACAGCTGAGGCAAATGGCAGACTGATGACAGGCAGATTTATTTGGTGGCTGAATTCTTCAGCCTTGTTTGGCACCAAATATATAGTGAGAGAAAACACCGGGTGGTGAGAAACCTCTCCATAGGGGCATCGGGAGAAAGAGGGGTCTGAATGAATGGTTGTATGAACTTGAACTGTGTTGGTATTTTGGACCCCAATTCAGGTCACGATTAACCTATTTCAGTATATTCTCGATCTGAGTAAATGAGAATTAAAAAGCTAAATGGATAGTTAAAATAGGCCTGCAGTATCAACTTCAGAGAGGATATATTGCTTATAACAGCAAGAGGTAGCCAAGAGAAAGGCCAGTGTTCTCAAACTTTGCTCATATTATAATCACGTGGGAAATGTTTAAAAATCCTGATGCCCACTCACTGCGTTAAATCAGAATTTCTGGGGCCGGGACCCAGCCATTGGAATCTTTTAGAGTTTAGGGAGGGGGGAATAACAGTCAATCCGAATATTATTTAGGCAGCCATGGGGAGAGTAAGAACCACCTGCAGAAGTGGGCTCTTTATGAATGCTTAACCTCACACATCCACTAATTTGCATCTAAGTCTTCCATAGCATCCTATATCTTTGGGGCAGAAAGGGTGACGTAAGTTGCTCTTCAGCCTGAGAGATATCTACACTGCACAACTAAAGCC